CTTCTAATGATAAAGTGTCGCCTACTTTGGAGAATACAATCTTTTGCGAGGCTAGGCTAAATGAAATTTCTATGAAATTATGGTAAAAACTCAACTATCAGTCCTTGAATCCTATAAACGATCCAGAGTGACTCAGCTTTTAGTCAGTACAAGTCTTCATTTTTAGCAATCTTTTATACCTAACCCCCTCGTACGGTGACTAGAACCGTTCTTGGCCATTCTGATGCCTCCAGGCCCATATGCATATCAGGTCGGGACTATTCCTTCCTCAATCTGGGCATATTGCATCCCATGCCTACTCATAGTCCCCTGACCCGCATACATCTCGTTCTGTGCAACCCCATTTTCCTTCCTGCCTTGCGGCCACATCCTCAAAGTGCTTCTCTGCTGGCCAGTCAGGCGCCGGTACCACAAACGCCATGGCGTCTTCGGTACTCTCGACCGCTCAACTTTGGACATCCGTTTCGTCTACGACTTCCGCTGCCTTCTTGAATGTGGTCTCTTGTCCATAGCTTCACTAGATCCTTTTGCCATATCTCTTGTCACTGCCATCTCACATACACCGTTGCCACATCTACGATTGTCTGGCTTCTTATCTTTGCACATGTTGTCATAACTGATACAGGACAGGACTTACGCACAAACCACACAACATTAAAGGCTATGCCATAGTATCAAAAACATAGTTAATATTATTTCGCTTAAGTTGACAAAGCACTAATAGCTCAATTTGCCCACAATCGTATGAGTTGAGTTGAAGTTCCCATTCAATTTCTCATAGACTTGCTTTCGCAAAAACTGGTCTCATCCAGGCTGAAGTAGACTTCAGTTTCCACCTCGCCTTGGTATTATCAACACTCCCAGCTGAACTCGAACCATGACAGCACGACACGTTTACCACAACGCCACATGCCACGAGTGTCTCTGGAAGACAGAGCAAATGTGAATTTCAAGAAAGGACCTGAATTTTCCCATATCATATTCTCTGCTTGGATTTTCGATGAAAGAATCGACTATATTACTTATTTTTCATTCATAAGTAGGGTTTGAGACTACGAGTAAATAAGTAAATCAGTAAATCAGTTTTAGCAAAACTGATACCATTTAACTCAGATTCCCAAATTGCATGCTTCCTTTGTATAGATA